TAGTCTAGTTCATATGCCAGCGAAACATATGGAATTCTACCCAGGCCGCAAAATAAATGCGCACAACTTGAACCTGCCAGACCGGACCGCTGAACACACGCGTCCTAAAGAATCTCGACTCTTGCCCTTTAATGTGTTGGTTAGTTTAGTGCTGTGTTTAGTGCTGTGGTAACAAATGCCACACAAGGACATAAGACTGTCTTAGACTAGAACCCGATGTTTACACACATGTACTAACTAGCCCCTTTTAACCCCCTTTTTCTGTGCCGGGGTCAGGCGAAGTAGAACCACCACAAACTAGTGCTCGAAAACAGCACCATTGTCCCATGTGATCGCACAAGCTTAACTTATACCTTTAATGCAGTATAATTACCACGGGCTGGCGAGATATGTCTAATCCGGGAGAGCGCACAAGGTTGTGTGGAGTCATGACACCGGTCAGAGCATATTGAGCCAAAGCCAACACAAAGCTTCAGCAACCGACCAATAAGCCGGTAAAAATCCAATAATTCCCCAAGTCCCCTTCATGAATGGTATCGTAGCAATCACAAATTTTTAAATAACCCACAACGCCGCATAATGCAATGAAACACGCCCCTCTTCCATCCAGTCCCAATCCCATGCTCAAGTATATCTCTCCAGCTCCAACCAACCCAGCGGGCCAAGCCTAATCCCACATCTTGATATCCCCCTTGGCGCCGGCGGTAAACACCTTGCTCGTCTCCTGCTCACTCCACGCGACGCAGTTGATGGCGCCCCCGGCGCTGTCGGCGTGGATCTTGTGGTACATCTTGCACGTCTTGAAGTCCCAAAAGCACACGTAGCCGGCCGTGTCGCCCGAGACGACGAACTGGCCGTCGGGCGAGCACGTGATGCCGATGGCGCTGCCGGCCGTGTTGTGCCCGCGCCACGACTTCTTGCGGTTCTGCCGGAACTTGTCCGACGACGCCGAGTAGGCCACGATCGAGTTGTCGCTGCACTGGTACAGCACGTACTTGCCGCTGGGGTGCTGCGTCGATCGCGTCAGGGCAAACATGTCGGGTTCGCTGTTTGCGTGTTAGCATGCGGCGCCGTATCCGGAGATAAAGACGAAAAAAAAAAGGAAAGTACAGCAGCAGCAAACATACCTGATAGTCTTGATCTCGACGGGAATACCATACTCCCACACCCGCAAGCTGCGGTCGTCCGACGTGGACATGAACCGCCGATTGTCGTCGACAAACTCGAGCGTGTTGATGGCGCCCAGGTGGTGGTCGTACTCCTGCACGGGCTCGTTGCCTGCGCGCGAATCGTACTGCAGGATCCGGTTGTCCGACAGGCCAGCTAGGAACTCGTGGCCCTGATCCACCGACGGGTTGAACCTGATGACGTGCGGCGTCTTGCCCGAGTTGAACCGGTTGATGCTCTGGCCCGTTTCGGTGTCCCACAGCTTGATCCACCGATCGAAGCCGCCCGACAGGAACTTTGTGCCGTCGCGGTTGAACGACAGGTCCGTGATGGCCTTGGAGTGGCCCGAGTAGGTGCGCAGCAGTTCCTTGGACCGGTAGACGTCCCAGATCTTGACGGTGCCGTCGGTGCAGCCCGACAGGCCCAGGTGGCTCGAGTTGGGGAACAGCCGCAGCGACGTGACGGGCTGCTTGTGGTGCTTCCACGTGTGCACGAGCTTCTTGGGGATGTAGTTCGTCTCGGACCCGACCTCCTTCTGAAGCGAGAAGTCGAGGTCCTGCGGCACGTGCATGTACGTCCGCCCGAGGTAGTCGTACTGGCTCTCGGCGTGGAAGGTTGTTGTCTCCTCGCCCAGCTCTTCCACCTCCTTCCGCCTGGCCAGCGACTTGGCCGGCGCCTGTACCACCGTCCCGCTAGGAACGACCTCTTCCTCTTCGCCGTCATCTTCCTCCACAATTTCGTACTCCTCGTCGCTCCCCAGCTCCGCCAGATCGTCGACCTCGATCTGCTCGTACCGCTCGCTCTTGTACTTGGCCCATGGGCCCACATAGGCGTTGTCGCCCTCGGCGATGGTGGCGTCGCCCTTGGCCTGGCGCTGGGCCTTGAGCTTGGCGGCCTGGTCGCGCAGCTGGGCGGCCGAGAGGAACTCGCGCTCGGGGCGGCCGGCGTCGCCACGCTCGACGGCGCGGTGCTTGCTGCGGAAGGTGTGCTCGCTGATGTAGGTCTCGACGGCGGTGCCAGTGAGCACGTTCTTCTTGCGCTTGAGGAGCGCCTGGGCGGTGTCGGCAGTGTCGTCTTTGTAGGGGTTGGCGGGGCCCAGCTTGGGCCGGAGCAGGTCCGCGCCCGTGTAGGGCACTACCGCATGGTCCGCCGTGGCTTCTTGGCGCACCACGAGGGCGTCCTGCACTGCGAGGTTGGGGGGGTAGTCACCAAATTGCGCCATGATTTTTCGTTGGCTTTATATTGGCGGAGGTAGAGGGTGGTGGTGATATGAGCCTGAAATGGCTGGCAGCTTTTTTGGGGGACGATCGATGATGCACCGCGATTGATGGCTGCTGGAGCATGGGAGGGTTACCTACAGTAGGCGCGTTTCTTGGAGCTAGTCCGGCCACCGCAGGCAAAATCTCGGCTCCGTCACGCACGGACCTTGATTGGATGGATACAAGTCTGCCTGCCTGCTTGCAAGTCTGGACTTGGCTTGGGTGACATGACGGTGTTGGCGGGCAGATAAGCTTTGGACCGAAGCTGGCAGCCTGGAATGCAAGCAAGCTCTTGGTCGCCGGTTGGATGATTGCAACTGTTGGATAAGCTGCGTGTCTTTGTCATTATGATATCCGTTCATGAAAACGCCCTGGATCGGAAGACTAGGCCAAAAACCAAAGACGACGAAAATCCCAACACACGAGAAGGGCTTTCTTCAATAAGGTACCAGGTAATTATGTAAATCCTAGAGATCCGTCCGGTCGAGGCTCACAAAAGCTCCGACTGAAGAACCGAGCCCACCCCCAGAGTTCGCAAACACCAAAAACATTCCAGAGAGGTATTTCTGATTTGCGCACACACCTGTATGAAACAGGGAGAAAAAAGAACAAGTCCCGCCACCTCGACTACTCCCCGTCCGACCTTGTCAAAATGCGTCCAGTTCGTGACTTCCATGGTTTGTCGTTACGTGTTAAGAGGCCAGCCCCCCCCCCCCCCCCCCGGCTCACTTCCCCTCCGCTCCCTTCCCTCCACGTCCTATCCAGACCCGAGTCGCGAGGTATCGTCTCCATTATAAGCCAAACCTGAATCATGTCCGCCATGTCTTCGTATCGTGCAATCTCAAGTTTCACAACCTGGGCCGTCCAGAGAAAAAAAAACGAAACCTGTCTATCCCATGCCGGTTAGACCCCCCATTCGACCAAGTCAAGCAGTGCTGCGCGCACGCGCCCGTGCTGTGTGTCTCCTTGCCGTAGATTCTGTACGTGTCGCGGACTCCGCCCAGAGGAACGTAGGTAAACAAAGCTCGACAATGACCCGGCGATGGTATGGGCGTCTAGTGGGCTTCGTCCTTGATAAGGGCAACGATCATGCTGTATAGGTAGAAAAAGAAGAGGACGAGGTGGAATCCAAGTTTGGTGAAGGATTCCTGTAGGCCTGGTTAGCACATGCCGCCCCCTTCACTCGAGAATGGAATTTGTGCCTCATACCTTCTTGTGTACATTTAGCTTGCGGAAGATCTCGGTCGCGTCCAGAAGATGTGTGTTCTCAAAGATCCTAGGTTATAGTCAGCACCGGGTCTCGGCTCACAGGCGACCATGGATAGCTCACTTCTTGACATTCCACCCGAGGAGCGGCAAATTGAGGATCAGAGGTAGCCAGTATCCGTTGATAAGGAACATGAAGGTCAGGAAGCCATGAACGGCGACTTCGGGGATGATATACGTGTTGAGGCGGTTGCAGAGGTCGATGGGATTGATGTAGTCGCTGCAGAGACAGGACAAGATTAGCACACACGACCTTTAAGACGGAGAGACGAGCTACAGGAAACGGCGAGTGGAAGCGCGGATTTTCGCTAGCGGCGCGGGGGGGATGCGTTTGCGCAAAGGGGGCGATCCATACCATTCAAGATCGCTGTACATAATTGTGAAGAAGACTTGGAGGAAGAGGTTGACGGCATTTATGAGTACGGCGAAGAGGTATAACCACGCTTCGCCCGACATGATGGCGGTTGTGGAGGGTGTCGGTTCGAGGTTGGACTTGGGTCAAGGGAGCTTCCTCGGAGACGATGGAAGCAACGTGCGACGTGCAACGTGCGACCTTGTGTGAGCGACGGGTGCGAGGGCACGACGCGGGATTGTGTAGAGTTGGTGGCAAGTGGTAGCTGGTTGGAGGACTCGATGTGGGATGAATGAATCCCTTTGCGCCGGTGTCGGGATCGGTCGGTCGGTCTGCTACGGGGAGTGGGCAGGTCAGAGTCGGCGCGTGCTGATGGGACGACAGAGAATTCTCGGGTGCGGTGTGTGGCCAGGAAAAGACCAGAATGCAGAAGGGAAGCTGTACATACGTGGTAGGAAGTGCGTGGATGCGTGGATACCTGGGTTGTCTAGATTTAAGGGTGGTGGTTGGTGGTTGGGTTGGGGCAAGGGCGGCAGGGCAGGCACTCGATGATGAAAGGCTCTGGTGCTCTGAGCTGGGTCCTGGCTGGATTTTCTGGTGGCCCAAGCTCCTATACGGTCGATGGCCTTCGAGGCTCCAACGGGGAGGAGACCGACCGAGGCCAGCCCAGTGGGGACGGGAGTGGGGACTAGTGCTCAGGTGCGTGCCCTGGTGGATGGCCTGCCTTTGGGGCTCAGAGGCGCTGCGATTGGGGGCGGGGCGGGGGTCCATTCTCTAGGGCGCCTCCCAGCGGGTCAACAAAAATGCGAGCGACCCGACACCCCGAGCCGAGCCAATGCGAACGCGACTCGGCTCCCCTGGCGAACATCACCAGTCTCCCAAACCCACCAAATCCACCTTTCCACATCTCCACTACAGCGGAATATCTGTGTCCAAAGAGCCAAAAAAGAAAGTCTCGATCCACCTGGGACTCGAACCCAGAACCTTTGCCAGGTGAGAAATAACTCATTCACATGATACCCGGAAGACAACGCGCTACCATTGCGCTAGCAGACCTGCTGTTGTTAAAGATTGTGAGGGTAAACATCACTAGATTGAACTCCGCCAGCCCCATTTTGACCTGATCATTCGTAACCTCTGCGCACTCCACTTCTTAAGAACTCCTGTCTGCGTATTCTTTCGTTTATAAATGCTGCTTCTCTGAGGTGAAAACCACTTCAGATGCGATGCGTTATTGCTCTCGCTGCGTTAAGTACCCACCTTGGCAGTCGACGGTCACCACAGAGAATGCACCACCGTCGACCCCCGCCAGCGCTGGAAAAGGGGTGTTCTGTTTTGACAGCAAAAGCCCACAACGGAACAAATACGCGATTCGGTTTGCGCAAACCAAATGTTTTCCCTAGGCCGGCTTTTCAACTATTTAAGCCGGGACGAGGTATGCGATGCGCTTCAAAAACTATGCGAACCAATCTTGTTATCGTCACGGGGGGACGCTGCATGGTATGCTACCCCTGAGCTCATCCATCTCCGTCAACCTCACGACCATCTCCCGTCCATGGGCACGCAGTCACCCCGTCGCAACAACGGTAAAGAGCACCAAAAAACCGTAAGCTTTCCTTTGAGAAGTCGCGATGCAGTAGCTCGCTCAACAGAAGATGCCATGCTTCTGGTCTAAATGCCCTTTAGAGAGCCTTCAGCGGGTATCATGGGCCAATCGCCACAACCTAAATCCACAGCAAAAAAAGAACCTTGCAGGCTTTGACGTGCATGTGTATGTATTGATATTTCGCTCATCAGCAGATGTCTCTAGTTTGTTCCATTTGTTGTTGCCTCCGTCGTCGGCACAGCCACGGGGCCGCCAGGCGAGTTCGCTTGACGGGCGGTCAGGATCTCCACGCCAGTTTCGGTGACCAGCAGAGTATGCTCTGTACAAACACGTTAGACATTGCTCATGGGTGTGAAGGTGAGGGCACTTCTCAGGAAAGCTTACCAAACTGAGCCGTCTTCTTGCCATCAACTGTCGTGCTTGTCCAGTTGTCGGGCCAAGTTACATCGCGGTACTTCCCGAGCGCAATCATGGGCTCGATGGTGAAGGTCATGCCGGGCTTGCACTCGCCGACAGCCTTGTTCTTGGCGTAGTGGGGAATGTTGGGCGGGCAGTGGAAGACGCTGTTGATGCCGTGGCCGACGTATGTGCGGATGACACTGCAGTTCTTGGCCTTGGCGTGCTTCTCGATAATGTTGCCGAACTCGCGGAATAGGGTGCCGGGCTTGACCTCCTTGATGGCCAGCTCGAGGCATTCGCGCGCCGTCTCGGTCACGCGAACCGTGTCTGGGTCCGCCTTTGCCTTGTCGCCGACGTAGTACGTCTCGTTCAGATCTCCGTGGTATCCCTCGTGGTATAGCGTTACGTCGAGGTTGACGATGTCTCCATCCAGCAGGATCCGGTTGTCGGGGATGCCGTGGCAGATGACCTCGTTGACCGAGGTGCAGACGGACTTGGGGAAATGGTTGTAGTTCAGAGGAGAGGGGTAGGACTTTCCGATGTTAGCATATCTGCCAACACGTGTGTGGCGAGGCAAAGAAGTGGGTGGTCCTTACGTTGCGCTCGAGGCAGGCCTTGTGTACAATCTCGTCGATCTCGTCTGTCGTGACACCGGGTCTGACGGCCGCTGCCGCGATGTCGAGCACCTCTCTAGCGAGCTTGCAGACCTTCCGCATGCCCGCTTGGGCCTTGGCGTCCAGCAGCTCGACCTTGTTGGACCGGACCATGGAACGGCCGAGTTTCGGGATGCCATCCTCTGCGTAATCTGGGTGGGGGATCGTCTTGGGGACTTCACGTCTCGGCGACAGCGGGTAGACAGGTCGGAGAGCGCCGGTGTAGTGGAAGTTGGGGAACGGGTTGTAGTAGCCGGTTTCTGGATCAGGTTTAGATACCGCTTTAGGAGGAAAGATTCGGTCAAATATACTGGTTTCTTGCTTATGGAGTGTCTTGTGTGTGTTCTGTGGCGCGAAAAAGTCAGCATCGAAATGTTCCCGTTTGCCGGGCTGGGCGCGAGAGGGGACGAGGCGGGGAGCGGGGAAGCCGAGGGTTTTCTTACCCAATTCCTCTTGAAGCACTCCTGGGAGCAGAAGAAGCTGTCCTTGACCCCGAGGGTCAGGCACTTTGGGCACTGGAGAGATCCGGCATCGTTGTCGCAGTCGGCGCCCAGGCACTTCCTCTTGGTGGGTGGTGCGTCGGTCATGGCGTGGGTTCGTCGGTGTTTGGTTGGAGGTTGGCGGAGGGCAAGTGTGGTATGGAAGACTGAGCTTGTTGGATTGAAGGAGAAAACGAAACGGTTGGATTCGGTGTGCGATTGCAAAGCTGCACGGAGACTAAGATTTCCTATGTCTCTTGACTCTGCGGGTTTATTATGGCGTCGGGTGAGGCTCGGCGTGGTGTCTGGCCGGGACTTGAATATTTTTGGAGAATGCGCCTAGAATCCTTGCCCCTCGAAGGGCGCGCCCGCATCGCCCACGGGTGGGTGGTGGTGGGTCGCTCCGATCAGACGAGCAGCGAAGCATGCATGGACCCTGGCAGCTTACTTAAGCACAAACTCGCCAGAAGCACCCTCCGGATTTAGCCGACGCCCACACCCCGGCCAGGTCGCCGCTTCCATCGCAACCCGAAGGTGGATGATGGAATGGACTTGCCGTGGGCTTGGCCTTGGTTCGACGCAACCATGTTGCCCTTTCTGACTTCTGCAATGCAAGCTGCCCAATCTCAACATGGACGGTCGACAGAAGGTTGTTGTCGTCGGCGCCGGTCCCGTGGGCTCTCTAGCTGCTCTCTATGCAGCGAGTCGCGGCGACGATGTCGAGATTTATGAGCTTCGAGGTGGTCAGTCATCAGTTTCTTGTTCCTGTTGTTCCGTGAGGGTTGCTATCACAATGGTGCAAACATCTCCAAAACCCCTCACTTTGACTCATGAACACCGTGACTCCCATCGAGGGTCCACAACTATGAAATGATTTTCCCCCCTTCATATTCCATCAATGGTACAACTGCGGGTCCAATTTTTACGAATGATTAATTGACCTATTCCTCCCCAGATCTGCGCGATCCATCGACAACTCCTCTCAACTTCACCCGGTCAATCAACCTGGCCCTCTCGGAGCGAGGCATAAACGCCATGAGACATGCTGGCCAACCCAAACTCATCGAGCATGTCATGGCGGCCACTATCCCCATGCGAGGGCGCATGATTCACGGGATGCGTCCGAATGGCGAGCTGTACGAAGCCTCGCAGGACTACGACGTGCATGGAAGAGTGAGTGCCTTTTCTCGACTTCCGGCCATCCGTTCATGTGTGATTTTTGGGGAATCTTAACCGGGTTTCCACAGACAATCTTCGCAATTGATCGCGGTGGTCTCAACAAACGGCTACTCGACATTCTCGAGGAAATGCCCAACGTGAAATTCTTCTTCAACCACAAGCTCACCGGCGCCGACTTTCAAAGAAACAAGGCCTGGTTTGTGGTGGCCGAAAAGGAGGCCCTGGCAGCAGGGCAACAACCTCGTGAAATCGAGATCGACTTTGATTTGATGATTGGTGCCGATGGTGCTCATTCCTCCGTCAGGTACCACATGATGAAGTACACGCGGATGGATTACCAGCAAGAGTACATCGATACGCTCTGGTGCGAGTTCCAGATCCTGTCCAAGAACGATGCGCCAGACTCCAGGTCCAGGTTGAAGTCTAAGTTCAAGATTTCGCCGAACCATCTCCACATTTGGCCAGGCCGGGATTTCATGTTCATCGCCATTCCCAGCGAGGTATGTTTCTTTCCGAGAACTTGAAACTTGAAATCACTAGCTAATGCTCTGCAAGGATGGCTCATTCACCTGCACTCTATTCGCACCAGCCGCTGTCTTTAGACAGCTTGAAGCCGACCGCGAGGGCGTCCAACTTGCTCCGTTCTTCGACGAGCACTTCCCCGGTGTGACGTCTCTGATCCCACCACCAGAACTGATTGCATCTTTCCACCAAAATCCCCATCTCCCACTCATCAACGTCAAGTGCAAGCCTCATCATTGTTCATCCTCCGTGGTGATCGTTGGCGATGCAGCCCACGCCATGGTGCCCTTCTACGGTCAAGGAATGAATGCAGGTCTCGAGGACGTGCGTATTTTGTTTGGCATCCTCGACAAGCACGCTGCCATTGACAGCAGCATGGCCACAGAGGCAGGCGTGCCGGTAGCGACAACGAGAGCAGCCCAGCGTGAACAAGCTCTGGCCGAGTACACGGCAGTCCGCGTCCCCGATGCCCACGCCATCAACGACCTCGCTCTTCACAACTACATCGAAATGCGCGCCTCGGTGCTTTCTCCCGTCTACCGGCTCAGGAAGTTTCTCGAAGAGTCGCTATCGGTGTATGTGCCCAGACTGGGCTGGCAAACGAAGTACTCTCGCGTGTCCTTCGGGAATGAAAGGTACTCGGAGGTTGTGGCCAAGAGTGAGCATCAGGGCAGAGTACTTGTTCGCGGACTTATCGGTGCTGTCGGTCTCCCATTAATCTCTGGCGGGCTTTTCCTGTATTTCAGATACCGACGGGCGGTCGAGGTCAGCTTGCGCGAGTTGCTCCAGGGACTTGCGGGTTTCCTGAACGGCCGCTAGTCGCTGGGCGTTAATTAAGCCTCTGCCATATTGGGAATCGTTACATGAATGCGGCTCCTGCATAAATGATGATCAACCAACGTCCAAACCCAAAACTTAACTTACTCGCTTTGCCCGTATGTGCATGAACGGGTGATACCTTCGGCAGTCATTTGGATAATCCGCGACTAAAGTGTGCCATTCCTATCAACACAATTCAAAGTACTGCCTCTGGCCATTCAAAAGTCTTACAAGCTTTTGGTGACACCCGCGAGCCCATGAATATGAACCATTTCGCCGTCTTTTGAGATTTTCCTGGGCCTGATTCCCTGCACAACGAGTTGGAAAACCACCGTATGATGCATCTAGCGTCGGGTAGAGCCGATGATGAGTGTTAGAACAAGACAGGGTCGGGGCTTT